TTGGTTTTATTCTATTTTTACTGTATTTTTATATTGTTTTTATTGTATTTTAATTAATATTATTGTTGTTTTATCGTGAACCGCCCAGAGTCACTTTTTAATGAGATGGGCAGTATCTAAATTTGAACTATAAATATAAAGGGTAGGGATGGCATGGTGGGGAGCACCCCAAGGGGCTAGAAATGGTGAGGGAAATAATTTCACCATTTGTCATCTGGGAAATCTGTGTCTCCCAACTGGTCAAATTTAATTTGGATAGACAACCTCTCCCTGAACTTCCCCCAAGCCTATCTGCACTGCAACTTTTTGTATGACATGCTCACAGAATTCCAGATGCACCACCACTGATCCCCAACAGTTGCCTGCCCCTGCTTTCAAAGAGAACCTACTGATACTTAAAGGAGATGACATTCCACCAGAGCTCTTTCTTTTGAAGGTGGACCTCTCTTGCTCAGTTGCAGAGATGGTTGACCATGCATATTATTAGAGATGTGGCAATTGCTTTTGCTTTGACCTGTCAATTCAGAGCATTGAGCCAATTTGGCACTTGGATCTGAACCATCAATCCAATTTGGAGGATCTTTGTGCAACTCTAGTATATACAAGAGTTTGAAACAGAAAAATAGGAGCTGAGAGTTTTTAGTGGAAATGGGAGAAGACAACCTTGGGGCGCAGACCAAATTGCTTTCTAGCAGATCTCTCTTATGAGAGGGGGGCTGGATCTCTGCTTACACTCTCCTACTAGATCTGAAAGTATTATAGGGGCACCTGAAGACTCCAGTACTGTCATGGAAAGAAAGGAACCAACTGACCTTTATAAGAGGTCAAATCATTGCCAGAATTAGAGACTGTGGATCAGCAAACGTTTTCCCATGTTAATTTGTATAGCAGAAGCAACACATTTTCTACCCCCCGAAACTAGGTTGCTGCAAAAATAGGCTTGGAGGAAAACCAGGAACAGATAAATGAGCAAAAGGAATTTGTGACCTTGGTAGTGGTGCTGATGGTCAGGGCACATGTTTGGAGAATCTGAATAAACATGAAGTAGATCTTGCCAGCCCAAGGTTGTGTAAATATTATGTTCCCCTTTCATTCTCCCTACCACCTGATAGGATAGATGGGGCTGAGTAATTAAGAAGGAAGCTTTTTAGGTCAAGTCAGACGGTCCAAATACTGTTTGCTCTGGTTAGCAGTGATTTTGCAAGGTCTGAATCAGAGATAGGTAGAAAGCTATTGGAGGTAAGAGGATTCCGGGATGGTATGAAAGACCATCTCAGAACCTCCCATGTCTGAGGATTGGACTAGATGACATCAAAGGTCCCTTCCAACTCTGTGATTCTATGAACTTCTTTAAACGAGATTGAAACTGGAAGTGTCCACCTACGAAATCTGTCACGGCTGTGGGGTGACCCTGAGCGACTGCAGCCAACTCAGTGATCCTTGAGTAACTAAGTTTTCATAGATGATCAAAGCTATACCATCCAAGCAGCAAGGCCTCACAAAGAGTGCCTACAGAAAAGGTAGAGTGAGATATATGGGCAGGAGAGATGATTGTTCTCCATTTGCTTCACTTACATCATCATGGCTTGCTTACCCGATCATTTGTCTCTGGTCCTGAAAGTGCTGTGATTCACTGGCTCTAGAAGATGGCTCAACAAGCTGAAATAGAATTGGGAAGTTTCATTTCTGAATAATTGTCTCCTTGTAAAAACTCCCTGCAAAAAAAAGGGGGGGTAGTTTCCCTACTGCTAGCTTTCTGCCTGCAGGAGAGTTCAACGCTGTCACTACTGCACCACCAAGCAGCAAGTCCACATAAAAAGTGCATATAGAAAGGGCAGAGCAAGATAGACAGGAGGGACTGAATTAGGCGCTTCTAAAGCAGTGTCTTCCTGAATTATAAGCTGTCTGTCTGTCAGCCCTTCAAGGTAGTCCAGACCAGAAGCACAACCAGGAGTACCAGTTCTATCTTTATCGTAAGGTTATGTTGACAGAATCTTGCAAGACTGAAAGTATTTCTCCCCTCCTTTCCTTTTACTCTCTGGAAAACTAGGAAGGGTCTCTTCTGAAATGCTTCCCATGCCCTCTCTCCTTCTGTGAGATGAGATACCTTTTACACACCAGTTGTCCACTCTGTGGCTCTTCCTCCTGTCTCACAAGGTCATTCCCACACGCCTTACACTATCCCTGGTCTTAGAGATGCAACAGCTTTAACCGGTCTCCAGATCTGCAAATGTGGTGTTTGAAAGGAAATGAGGATGGTGTTGGTTAAGAGAAGGCACTCTACATGGCCAGTGTCAGCTCAATACTCAGAGCCATGCTGGGGGTCTAACTCTGCTTATCCAGTCCTAGCAGAGCACCAAAGCTGCATTGCTGAAGGAGAGTTCAGGTGTATAAAACAGTGAGATTTCATGGGCTCGTTGCATTTTTCCCAGAGAGGAGTGAGGCCTGTGATGATGATAGTCTAATCCAATGTTTCTCGGCTGG